ATCCCAGCACGGACCACTGAGGGACACCAGAGGTTACGCAAGCTTAGTCAGAAAGTTCTCCATTTACAACGGTGTGCGACGAATCCGCGCCACAAAGGTGGGCGCCCTCTAACACAGACAAAACACCAAGCACAAACGAACTCGAGAAGACACGCCACAACACAACTAAACGTAGGCCTACAAATATTTATTATCCTAATTAAAACAATAATTAAAGCAACCAACAATAACGACAACACAATGAACTAAATTATTTATCCTAGTTAATTTACAGAAATATGATAATTTAAACTAAAGTATACTAAAACTATTTACAAGAGTAATTACTATTAAGATAAAAAAAAAAAAGGTAGGTTTTTTTTTTAGTTGAGTTTCGTTCACCTTCACGTCCTGTGCTTGACCTGTTATTAACAACCACGTTCCACCAACAAACGACACATAAACCAAACTCACGATTCACAAACCAATCTTCGCGTTTAACAACCCAGACTCGCGTTTAACAAACCATACTCAACTTCGCGTTTAACGCAGCTAAACGTAGTAGTTTCCAACTTAACGTAACTCGGTCCTCGCCCAGATTTTTCCTTCACTCCTCTTGTCTTCACTGGCTTTGCCTTTGACAGAAGATAACCTTCTCCTTTTCCTTCTTCTGCGTGTTTTTTCTTTCGGCCAGCTTCTAGGCACACGTACGCCCCCGGCAAATTAATTCTTTGTCATGTGAAAGGACGAATTTTTTTCTGAATGACTCTCAGTGATTGAAACGTGCCCCGATCCGAACGAGTCTCTGTAACTTTTTCAACCTTCGTCTTCAGTGACTTTCTCTCTCTCTCTCTCTCTCTCTCTCTCAAAAAAACCATTTACCCCACCGTAACCACCCGAATCCCTAAATACATGTGGATTCAAGGTGCAAGAAAAGAATGAAGAAAACTATTTGATATATACAATAAAGGTTAATTACACAAAAGCTTACACAAGTGAAGAATACAAGCCTGTACCAGATACAAATATCACGCACTACATTGATCCTAAGAAAATAAAATAATTATCATGATTTACTTATCCCTAAATAAATTCTTTATCGCTTTCTCGACTGTAATCTGGTGGACAGCAAATAGGTCAGGCCTATACTTGGAAGGAAAGCTTCTCTTATAATGAAAATCCTCAAGTACTTAGACAATGATCAGTTGAATTGGCCCCAGACCTCTGAAGTTGACGTGTACGCTCATGATGCGCCAACCGAGCCTGTTTTGTCCGCTGACCAGTGAGTCAAAAAATTCCCTCGCGTTTACAATGATGGAGTTGGTAAACTTCCTGGAGAATATCACATGGAGCTCGATGAAACGGTAAAGCCGGTTCAACACCCTCCTCGCCGAGTACCGGTTGCTATCCGACAACGTCTACGAGAGACTTAGGAGATTTGGAGAAGCGAGAAATTGTAGCTCGTGTGACAACGCCCACA